ACTGGATTTCATACAATCACCATATTGCGGAAGAGACAAGCTAAGTGCAAGGATCGGTTCGGGTGTAGCTACGTCTCTTTCTTTAGTGTCTTCGGATCAGGGCTAATTCTCATCCTCTTGCGCATTGGACGAAGTCCATCGCTAGAGGATAGATCCGAAAGACTTCTCAGAGCTCACCCTGACGGACTCAATCTCAGAGCCGATTCTCTCTCTTTCTATCTCTTGTGTAGCGTCTCTACCAAAAATACCTCAGAGTCACCTCATATCACTCTCATAGTGCATTAATTACAAATTCAAAGACGCTCTGCTCTCTCATTGACTTTATAATATCGTAATAATCTTATAATTTGAATTCGTTCTTAGACAATTAAGTTTTCCTTTTCCGTTTCCATTTTTGTGAATGAGCACTCGATTATAATCATATAACAATTACATTCAATGTTATTTTCCAATATATTCAATTGATTATTGTTAATTTAAGTATTAAGATTGGTTCGCCAAACTTTTATCTCATTTGTCACATTAGAATTAATTAGAATTAAGTTTACGTTATCTACTATCTCTTAAATTATATTTTTAATTGCATTAAAGTTTGCTTAATTTTGTACACACATCATTAGTTTTTTATCTCCGTCCTCACGTCGCTCAATCTCGTGACGGACGGAAGTCCTGAATCACAAACATTATACATTTTGGTCCTTCGAGCCGGATACGGTGAGCGGCTTGAGGATGAGAGTGAGTCACATAGAGAGTCGGATTGAGCAGCAGCTCACTCTCAAAGAGTTAATCGATACTGCGATAGACAGATTGATTAAAGTCGGATATGCAAATATCACTCCTCAGCGAGTAAATGCATGACTTGCATCTCTTAAGGAGAGTTGGGAGAAATTTTCTCTTGTTCACGACGCTATCGGTTTAGCGATTTCTAGATTGAATTCGGAAGATGCTACATCTCTGTTAAGTCACTCATATTTCTCGGAAGGTCTCTTCTCCTCAACTCATGAGAACTATCTCGAAGCAGTAGAAAAAATGAATCTGCTGCTTGAACAGGAAACTGGAGTTACACACCGGATGCCCTCGACTCCCAGTGGTTCTCATACTTCAGCCACTCCTTTTTTTCACCATGCTCGACTTCCTCGAATCGACCTTCCTAAATTCAATGGTTCGCCAGCGGATTGGTTGTCTTTCAGACTTGTTTAGTTCTTTTGTTGTAGACAATCCTACTCTAACTTTAGTGGAGAGACTTCAATATCTGAAGACTAGTCTAACGGGATCTGCATCGCATTTGTTAAAAAATACCACACTCACTGCAGACAACTTTCAAAAGGCTTGGGATGCATTGATAGCTTTTATGAAAATAAGCGGTTGTTGGTGAACGCCGCCCTCCATTCTTTACTCTCTCTCAAACGCATGACACGGGAATCAGCTGCTGAAATGGAGCAACTTTATACTAACGTCATGCAGATTTACCGCACTTTAGAGACGCTAAAATGCCCAGTGCAATCATGGGACGATTTCCTTGTCTTCATTGCGGTACAACGTCTCGATGCCGAATCAGTGAAGGCATGGGAGCACACGCTAGGTTTGTCAAAGGAACCTCCTACGTGGAATCAGTTTAGCGAGTTCCTTGTTACTAGATTGCTGTCTCTACAGGCTTTTGAAAAGTCGCGAATGAGTGAATCTCAAAGCCAAGGTACTGTTAAATCTCATTTTCAGGGAAAAGGTAAGGACAATACCAGCAAAACGGTTTCTTGCGCAATATGTGGTTCTAATCATTATGTGTCAGGCTGTCCGCAGTACACGTCTAATTGTAAAACAGTTTTACAGCGATTAGCTATAATCAATAAATACAAACTGTGTTTGGGTTCCCATCGTGCTGCAGTTTGCAGGATCACTAAACGATGTCAAAAATGTGGACATAAGCACCATACCACCCAGTAAGCAAGAAAACATTAGTATAACGTTATTATAACGTTACTCAGTAACGTATAACGTTGTTCAGTATGTGGTTTTTAACGTTATAATCAACGCCATTATGAACAAACTTTGACACCAATTTTAAGGTTATTACAACGTTGGAATGGAAGTGCCTTAACATTGTGAATAATGTTGCACAAATGTTTTTTCTTATATTCAATATAATGTTTCGTACATAACATTGAATAAATGTCCAATTCTTATCTTCCAATGCCTCCGCAAAACTAACCTTCTTACCACTCCTATCCTCCTCCAGGTCCAGCTTCCTTTGCTTATCATCCTTCGTTCCCTTGCTAGTCTTGCCTCCCCTTCCTGACATCTTTTATATCCTATCTTATATCCGGTCGATTTCCTACCTATTCTAACCACTCTTTACGCCCGCCTGCCTATTTTTTTCTTTCTTACCTAGCTCTCTCCACACGCTCTACTTTCCGCCTTCACTTCTGCCGCTTCTACTCGCTTCTCGCTTTCCTCTCCCTACTCTCGACTTCTCTATCTTCGCAATACTTATCTCTCTAAAATACTCTTACAAAGTATCCGCTCTCGTTCATACAACCATTCGCCCACGCGTCACCT